CAATACAGTGAAGAGTTCATAAAGCAGACAGTGTGGTCTTTCAGGAACCGTGAGGAACGATGCCAACTTGTAGGGGAAAATATTTTTAGTACAGACAAAATACCAGTGCTTCTCCAACCATGCCCCTAGTGAGCAGCTTATAGATAGCAACATGTTCCCTTAGTACATTTTGCTAAATCATAGAATCATAGAATGGTTTAGGTTGGAAGGCACCTTAAAGATCATCTAGTTCCAAGCCCTCCCACTAGACCAGGTTGCTCAAAGCCCCATCCTAACTGGCCTTAAATACCTCCAGGGGTGGGCCCTCCACAACTTCCCTGGGCAATATGTTCCAGTGCCTCACCACTCTCAGAGTGAAAACATTTTTCCTGGTATCTATTCTAAATCTCCCCTCTTCCCGTTTGAAGCCATTACCCCTCGTCCTATCACTACATGCCCATGTAAAAAGTCCCTCTTCTGCTTTCTTGTAAGTGCCCTTCAGATACTGGAAGGCCACTATAAGGTCTCCCTGGAGCCTTCTCTTTTCCAGGCTGAATAACCCCAACTCTCTCACCGTGTCTTCATAGGAGAGGTGCTCCAGCCCTCTGGTCATCTTCATGGCGCTCCTCTGGACCCACTCCAACAGGTTCGTGTCCTTCCTATGTTGTGGGCCCCAGAGCTGGACACAATATTCCACGTGGAGTGTCACAAGAGTGGAGTAGAGGGGCAGAATCACCTCCCTCAACCTGCTGGCCACACTTCTTTTGATGCAGCCCAGGATACAGTTGGCCTTCTGGGCTGTGAGTGCACATTGACAACTCATGTTGAATTTCTCATCAACCAGCACCCCCAAGTCTTTCTCCTCAGGTCTGCTCTCAATCCATTCCCTGCCCAGCCAGTATTTGTGCTTGGGATTGCCCCGGCCCACATGTAGGACCTTGCATTTGGCCTTGTTGAACTGCATGAGGTTTGCACAGGCCCACCTCTCAAGCCTGTGCAGGTCCCTCTGGATGGCATCCCTCCCCTCCAGCGTGTTGACCACTCCACACAGCTTGGTGTTGTGGGCAAACTTGCTGAGGGTGCACTCCATCCCAACATCCATGTCACCAACAAAGGTGTTAATCAGCACTGGCTGCAGTACCGACGCCTGAGGAACACCACTTGTCACTACTCACCACTTGGATGTGGAGCCGTTGACTGCAAGTCTTTGAGTGCGACTGTCCAGCCAGTTCCTTATCCACTCAGTGGTCCATTGGTCAAATCCACGTCTCTCCAATTTAGAGACCAGGTTGTCATGCAGAACGGTATCAAATGCCGTGTGCTATGCAAATAGAGAGAATGCATGGAACTAGTTTTTGCTGTTAACCTGCAGCTCTCCTCATGCTCTGATTTCTATTTGGTCTGCTCAGCAGATCCACCTGCTCTGCTGATCCACCTTTCCTGTGCCTCCTTCTTGCCTTGAGTCATTGGAACTTCCAGTTTTTCAGTGTGGTGCTAGTGAGCTTGGGGAGTTTTCCCTTCACTGCACACTGGGGCAGCATACCACAGACACAAGCTAGAAGTAACTGTGCACTTCTTACAATAGCATATTGTGCACCATTTTCACCTGTTAATTCAGCAGACAGCACCACCTGTTTCTGTGCTTTAAGAAAGAATGTTTTGGGACTTTCCAAGAATTCCATGTTGAGTTAGAACGATAATTTCTCTCCTCCCCCCCCCCGCAAAAAAAAAAAAAAAAAAAAAAAAAAAGTGTGGCGGGACTCCAATTCACAAATTGGTTGTGATGGAAACGAGGGCTTGCATTTTTTGTTTTGCATTTTAGGCTATTTGTTCGGGAAGAAGCTGAGCTGAGTTAATTTCTCTCTATTTTTACATCTCATGCTTCCTAAAAGAGGATGCTGAACTCTCTTATAAGGATTAGTCAGGGAGTAAAGAAAGTAGCAGCAAATAGGTACATAGCCTGATGTATGAGATTATCTCTTTAGCCTGCACACATGGTTCCAGTCCCTCTTCTAGTGTTATTTAAAATATCTCATACAAGAACAACATGAGTATTGTGAAACCAATTTATTTAGTGTGTACAGAGCAGACTAAAATATGCAGTCAAAAAATAAAGACTAAAAGAACGGAAGCATTTTGCACCTCCTGCGATACTCAGTTTAAAAAACTTTTCACGTTAGTACAATCAGTTCATTCTTTTATGAAAGAATATCTTAAAGAGGTCAGGATGATAAACAGGCTTATTATGAGAAATACAGTGAACTTCCAATTTCATGGAATAATCATCTCTTTAGCTCTATCAGTTGTTGCGGTGGGTTGACCTTGGCCAGCTGGCAGACGCCCACCCAGCTGCTCTCTCGCTCCCCTCCTCAACAGGACAAGGGGAGAAAATAAGATTGAGAAGCTTGTGGAGCGAGATAAGGACAGGAAGATCACGTAACAATTACGGTTGCAAGCAAAACAGACTCAGCTTGGGAAAAATTAATGTAATTTACTGCCAATGAAAATAGATTTAGATAGCAAGCAACAAAGACAAAATTCGAATGGCACCGTCTGCCCTTCCTCCCAGGCTCACCTTCCCGCCTTCATTCCCGACTCCTCTGTGTGGCCCGCCCCGCCCCGCGGGGC